GTGCCCTGAAGAAAAAAAAAAAAAAAAAAAACCTCTCAAAAAAAAACTCTCAAAAAAAAAAACTCTCAAAAAAAAAAACCCAAAAAACAAAAACACTGCAGGTGATTTTATATCAAACATTACTAAGTATGTCTTTGTGAAACTGTCATAAAAATAAGTACAAAATAATAAAATCCATTATTAAATTCTAATCTGATAGTTTAAGTCTAAAAATAACCTGACTTTATGTAGTTCATTGCTTAGATTATGTAAGTCTGAAATTCAGTAATTTTTTTTTTGAAATATGTTTTTTGCTTTTGAAAATTAATTGATCAGGGGCCAGCAGATAGATGGTGTAATGGTTATGATGCTGGACTCCCATGTAGTCGACTGCACAACCGTGGTTCAAGTCCTGGACCTGGTGGCTTAAAATTCACGCAGGGTGCATGTGTGTGCATGCCCAAAATCCTGAGGAGAGTGGAGGAAAGGGAATTATGGTGTGGCCATCCCTCTGGGGGTGATTTCTCACTTTCTGTCTCCCTGGCCAAGTGCATACAGCCTATAGCAAAAATCTCTCTTTAAAAAAAAAAAAAAGAAAATTAATCGATAAACCTTATTAAAGATCTAAAGAGTTTCACCACATTAAAAGTGTTTCACCACATTAAAACTTTTTTTAAAGAGAGATTTTTGTAATAGGGTGTGTGTGCTCGCCAAAGAGACAGAGATATAGGAAGTGAGAAATCACTCCCCAGGGAGGGATGGCCATGATGCAATCCCATCTCTTCCACTCTCCTTTTGGGATTTTGGGCATGCACACACACAGGCCTGGCATGAGTTTTAAGCCGCTGGGTCAGAGACTTGAACTGTGGTCAACTACATGGATGTCCGGCGACCTAACCATTATGCCATCTGCTCTTCCCAAAAGAAAACAGTCTTTAGTCTTCAGAGTAGTTTTCCAAAGTTGTGCTGGTACAAATACTCAGATGTCAGCGGTCTTTTCCCTTCAGGACAGTTTGAAGCTCTCATACTTCAACCATCTTTCTTTCTGAAATCTATTATGCTCAGAAACATGGCTATCTTACACACACCAGCTTCTGAACAAAAAATTGTGCTGGACAATATATTCATAAACTGAATTATTATAAATCAAATACAATACAAATGTTCAAGTGTTTAAAGTATAAGTTCTCCAGTCTAGTTATAAGAAACCTACATTTTAATTTTTTTTTTAAAGTTTTGTTCTAGGTGTATGTGCCCACCAGTGAGAGACTGGGGAGGGGCAGGGAGAGAGAGGGAAAGTAAAAAACATCACCCCTCAGAGGAGATGGCCACACCGCAACATTCTCCTCTAGGGATTTTGGGCACATGTGAACACACGCCTGGTTTGCCTCTCAAGTTGCAGGTCTGGGACTCAAACCTCTCAGTCATGTTGGATCTAGCTGCCTTAATATCCATACCACCTAATGGCCCCCCATATTTTAATTAAATAATTTCCCCCCTTATTCACTGGTAGAACATATGAATGTGAGAGACAGGGAGAGAAAGTACTCTCCACAGGGTCTGATCACGCTAGGGTCCCTTCCCCCAGACCTCCAGTCAGTGGATCTTGGTCACTCACGTGTGTGCCTGCTGTGTTTTAGGCAGACTGGGCTGGGAATTCTAACCTTGGTTACATGTGGGATCCAGGTTCTCTTGAGCAGCAAGCGACTACTGCATCATGAAGCCAGCCCACTTTTTATTAATTTAAAGTGTTACCTAGGCCAGCACTGTAGCCTAGTGGGTTAAGGGAGCCAGATCCCATATGGTCACTGCAGTATGAATCCTGGCCCTGGTGGCTTAGAAAACACTGGCTATGTGTGCATGCATGCCCCATGGGAGGGTGTGTCTTTTTTCTTTCTCTCTGGTGAGTACATGTGCCCTTTGGTAATTAAAAAACAAACATCTAGGGCCAGCAGGTGGCACAGTGATTAAAGCAGCTGGATTCCACCTGGCTGACTCTACAGTTCGAGTCCCAGAGCCAGTGGGGCATGCGCAAAGCCCTGAGAAAAGAACGGAAGAGACAGGATTGCAGCATGACCACCCCTCTTGGGGGGTGTGATTTCTCTACCCCCCTCATCTCTTCCCAGTGAATATACATGCCCTGCAGCAAAACTAAAAAAGAAATAAAAAGAACCAAAAATCTAATTTTTACTCCTTCCAGAGTTCTGTGCCGACTATACTCTATCAATGCCAGCTATTTCTCTGTTTTGAACTCCTTAAGCTTCTTCCAGCTTCAGGGTCTTTATACTTTCTATTCCCTTTACTCTGTTCCCTCTAATCTTCACATGGCCTATTTCTTCATTTCTTTATGTCAATATTTCCTCAGAAAGATCGTTGCTGTCCACCTCATTTTCTAAAGTAGTCTCATTCCCATCACACTGTATCACACAATTCTTTTTTCTTTACATAGTTCTCACTGAGAATACTCGCCTACTTATCTTGGAATTCTTTTTTGAATTTCTTTTTAATATAGTCCCAAGTTATGGACTGTTCTTTAAATCCACAGACATGCTCACCTGTTGCTTGTTACTTTGGCAGGCTGCACTCAGATGCTTAAACCACAGCATAGCATTCATCCTATTGCCAGCTTGAAACTTGTATGAATTTCCTAAAATTGCCAAAAACAAGAGGAAAATAATGAAAATGTAAGGACCACGACACATAATGATTCTGTCCAGTATTAAAATTCGTTTCATAATTCTACGGATTTAACACCTGATTCTCAAATACAAATAAAAAGAGTTCTCTGAGCCAGTGGCCCCCAAACCTTTCCAGTACTGCACCAGGGACCTGCCTGGTGGAAGTCAACTCCTCCAGGACTAGAGTGGAGGGTGGGAGGGGGAGGACCCAAGTGCACCATGTTGGCTGGGCACCCCGTTTCCACCACCACCACACTGCAGTATATGATGAAACAATCACACGTTGGGGTTCACACGCCCATGAGACTCTATCACTGGTGAAGTGACAGGAGGTGGAGGCCAGGTGGCAATGCAAGCAACAGGGAGCATCTGCAAACACAGACGAGGCCTCTCTCGCCTCCATTGCTCACCTGCTGGGGGGTGGTGCCCAGCAGGCCACAGATTGGCACCAGTCTGAGTGCCAGGGGCTGGGGACCCCTGCTCTAAGCCACCTATTCACATGCTATCATATGAAAAAGTCACTGTGTGGCTGTTTATGAATTCAAAGAAGTTATTCTGTCTCCTTAAATGTTCTCTAAAATAAAGTATATCTCAATAAAATAATTGTGTGGCTTCTCTCAATTTATCTGTGTGGATAAAACCGTGAAACATTGGTTCTGAATACTACACTTAGATGATTTGAATATTAGTAAAGGCTAATATAAGTCTTCACATGCCAAAATGCTTCAAACATGTTTAGCAGTGAAACATTAGCTATTTAATATGATTATGGATTAATCAGATAACATCAACATGGGCTATGTTTTTAGTCTTTAGTTGTAAGACACTTGTCAAGATTATTATAAATTTCTAGTTCTGTTAAGGGCTCTCTGTGAAACTTTAGGAAGCATCTTTTTCTCTTTTAAGAAATTAGAAGTGCATCTATGTTGTGTGTCTTTAGCTCTAATTCAAGACTGACATAAATATTTTATATGGGTGTATGCATTAAAGTGGGTGGAGCACTATGAAAGGAAGGATCCATGTACTATGGGCTGCTGTAAGTGGAACTTCACTTTTTACACTGACCTAAATTGTTTTATTTAATAATTCTTCCCAAATTCTACTCTTTCCTTTATAACTCTATTTAACGGCTCAAGAGCTTGATTGTATTGAGGTATTCTTGGGATGAGACCCAAGCCCAAACATGAAATTTATTTATGTTTTGTACATATCTTATACACATAGCATGAAGGTAATTTTATACAGTAGTTTTGTACTGTGGTGTTTTGACTATGACCATCACATGAGGTCATGTGCCAACTTCTCCTTTTGTGGTATCATGTCAGTGCTCAAAAAGTTTTAGACTTTGGAGCATTTTAGGTATCAGATTTTTGGACTAGAAATGCTCTATCTGTATCATTTTGCTAGCTAGACTCAGATGCAAACATTAGATGATAGCCAATTACTATATTCATAAATGTCCATATATTAAAGTTATATGTAATTATAATTAGTTTGGAAAGTGACTTGAACAAGTAACCAATTATCTTAATTAAAAGTAACAATAAATCATTCAAAGAAAAACTTTGCCACTTTCAAAACTTAAGAAAGACCATCTAACTCAGGGTATTAATGAAAGGGTATTACTTACACGGCAAATCTCTGAGATTTTAAAGAAGCAGTGGATTGCCTATTCTCAAATTCTCTCCTTTCCTTGCTCGTTAGCTTTCTAGGGATCATGTGGGGTTTTAATTTCCAAGCTTATGTCCAGGTGGCAAAGGAAATAAGCTCTACGGATGTTGATATCCACTAAACTACATTAAATGACGACAGTATTTTCAAGCAGATCAAACTATACAAATGCTCCCTGTTAAGTATTCTAGACACACTGGATTTTGGCCCATCCAAAGTTAAGTACAGGTACTATCTTAAGCCCTAGTTACTCTAACAATTCACCTTTCTCAGAGTCGGTCAGCAGGAAGAGATCGGGGTGTTACGGGTTTTTGGAACAGATCGGGGTGTTCGGGGTCATCGGCCATCATCACCATCCAGCCCACCACAGACACATTCTTATTTGAGGTTGACTTGAACTGAGAAGCAAAAAGATAGTTAGTGGAAACACAACTTTATAGTTCCTTCTAAGCAAAAATTGTTAGCGTATTTTCAGTTTTTCCTGATGAGAGATGAAATTTGTGACTTGATGCTTGTTCATTCCATCTTGGGGACTTTTACTACGAAATTCCACCTGGGCATGACCCCTTTGGATAGGCTCCTGCTTTCTGGACCCTCCTTAGCTTCCTTTAGCTCTTCATCAAAACCTGTCCTATTCATCATCCTAAAAAGCACGATCTGTTAGTGGTTTTGGTAAATTCATCTGTGTTGTTTCTTTCTGAGCCACTGTGCTACCTCTTACAGGAAACACACATGCAGTTTAAGAGCTGTGTTATCTTAAACCTGTTGATAAATAAGCCAGCAGTGCTATCAGACAGTTCTTACTTGTAACCCCCCATCAAAAGGGTATTTCTTAGCATGCCTAATACATTTGCAGTTAACTATTTTTTCTATTATTAATGGTATGTTAGTTACACTTCTTTTTGTAACCCCAAGAAAGGGTTACTATAAGAGAAAACAGAAAATAAGGTGAATCTCATTCATGAACATAAATACAAAAACCCCCACAAATTGAATAAGCAGTGCATATTAAAAAGCTGATACATGGCCAAAAAACAACGAAAAAAAGTATGTAAGGTTGGTTTAACCTTAGAAATTAATTGGTGCAACCAAGTCAAATTTATCTCAAGAAAGCGAAGCTAGTTCAACTTTAGAAAAATTATTACTGTAAATTACCATATTACCAGATCAAAGAAGAAAAAGATATTACAAAACTCAATAGATGCAAAAAAAAAAGGGCATTTATTAAGATATAATGCAGATGTGTGATAAGGACGTAGCCAACTAGGAAAAGATGGGCACTTACTAATTCAGTAAGAACATATCACCAGCAAATGAAAAAAAAAAAAAAAAGAAAACGTGAAAACCCGTACACACACACACACACACACACACACACAATCAAACCAAAAACAAAGCAGGAAAAAAAAAAACCCTTCAAAAATTCTTTAGCGTACACATTCAAAGGAAAAATGCTAAAAGCATCTCAAAATCCGCATCAAGCTCATTATTGCTACTTCCACTCAACAATGAATTAGGAGACTTAAGCTCACTAAGACGACAAAAAGGAAAGAAAACGTAAAAAGGTAAAGGAGAAAAGCTGCTTTACTCATAGACTGTATTAGCTACACAAAAAATCCACCGAAGCCTACCAAAAAGAAAGATCAGTAAGGTTGCTGGGAAAACATTTCTTTAAAAAATTATTTTATTTATTTATTTATTTATTTATTTATTTATTATTGTTATTATTTTTCACATGAGTTTTGCCAAAGACAGAGAGAGAGAGGGAGAAGGAGAAAGCAAGCTGCCAGGTCTGGGACTCGAACCATGGTCAGCCATGTGGGAATTCCAACACATTAACCACTGGAAAAATATTAACATAAAAATCGAGTGTAATTCTATACATTAGAAATACAAAAATCACTATGAAAAGTGTACCTAGGAATACATGGAGTCAAAGACACATGGAAGTATGACAGTTAAAAAACATTAAAGACATAAATCAATGCATAAATAAACAAAATGAAAAAAGTTCAACATTGTAAAGATATCAAGTCTCCCTAAACTGATCTACAGATTCAAATGTGTAACCGCAATTGATTATAACAGTGTTTTATGTGAACCTGATCAGCTATTAGTAATTTTAGAATTTATATGGAAGACCAATCAATGGACTAAAAAAGACAAGATACTTCTGAGATCTTACCCTGCCCATCACAAATTATAAAGCTACCGCAAAGAAAAACAAAAACAAAAACACGCCGAACTACCTGAGTTGATGTATATGTTAATTAGCATAACTGTGGCTGATACATACATACATACATATATCTATAGAGTTATATAAACTCTATATATCTAAACAAAGTTGTACATCTTAACTGAGTATAATTTTTACTTGTCAATTATCGCTTAATAGAGCGTCAAAAAAAGACTAATAAAGCAACAGTAACTAAAACTATGACAAGCAATGGAGCAATGATGTCTAGAAAGAAATCTGTGTATAAACACATGAATTCATATGACAAGAAAGAGCAGGCTCTGCAGAAAGAACTGTTCAGTAAACAGTGCCAAGAAAATTAAGCTATATATATAGAAAAGACGTGAAAATTATTAGGTATATGAGCTGGAGAACCTGTGCACAAAAATATTCACAGAAACCTTATTAGAAATAGCAAAACTGGGGACCAGCAGTTAGTGTAATGGCTATGTCGCTGGACTCCCACGTAGTCGACTGTGGTTTGAGTCCCGGACCCAGTGGCTTAAACTCCCGCCGGGCGCATGTGCGTGCGTGCGTTCCTAAGATCCCGAGAGGAGAAGGGAGAAGAGATTGTGGTGTGGCCATCCCCCCTGGGGTGATTTCTCGCTTTCTGTCTCTCTCTCTGTCTTTCTGGCGAGTGTATGCGCCATATAGCAGAAAACCTCTCCAAACAAAACAAAACAAAACAAAACTGGAAACGACCAAATAGCCATCAAGAGAGTGAGGAGTAAGTTACAGTATATTTATATATAAAACAAGACTATTCAGTTGTGAAAAGGAAAAAAATGATAGCTAAATGCACTGACAATGATGCACTTCAACAATATACTATGATGCAAAAAAGTTAGGGCTTAAGGATGGACACAAACGTGAGCCTGGCTGCACTGGGGTAAGTGGGAAGGTGCTACTGTGTGATGGCTGAGGCCACGCAGGAGCCCAGGCTTGATTCCTGGCTCCACTTACACAGTCCAGGTGTGGTGGTGTGCACCTGTGGTCCTAGCTAATTAGGAGGTGAGAAATTAGGAGGTAAGAGCCGAAGGACAGCTATGTGGTGAGATCTGACTACAAATATCCCTCTCCTAAAAAATAGAAAATGTATGTGACTCCATTCTTGTATAGTTCAAAATGAAACAATGTATAAAACAGCACTTATGGTAAAACTCTAAAGAAAAGCAAGGCAACTATTAACATGAAACCTAGGGCAGTGATGGGGTGTGTTTGACTAAGGAAGATCTCAGAAGTGTCTTGGCTTTCTTAGGCCACTGAGGAAGTCCATTAGGGAAGGCTTGATGGTTGTGATGTGTTCTGCTCCTTACGCTGAGTGAGTAGAGGCTATATTGGTGTTTACTGTATTTATTATGCTTTAGAACGTTACATGTACACTTCCTACTTTTTGTAAGTATTTTGGGTGTTTCCAGATTTCTGCTGTTGTAAACATTATAGGAACACTCTTCTATACCTGTGTGCTTGTTCAAGGTGTCTAGTAGGACAGATTCTCAGATAAGGAATTACTAGTTATTAAGTTAAATACTAACTAGAACTGCCCCTCCATAAAAATAAGACTAATTTAAATTTCTCCCAACTGTGGACGATAGTATGTTTCCTTATACCATAGCCAGTACTACTTTATCAACTTTGTAAGTTTTTGTTTAATGGCAAAACAAGTCTTTTTCTTTTCAAAAATAAGTTTTTATTTAATTTTATTTATCATTATTATTTAGTTTGGTACAGGGTATGTTCTCTCACCAGAAACAGAGGGAAAGTGAGAAAGCAAGTTGCCAGGTCTGGGACTCAAACAACTGTTGAACACATAGGAGTCGAGTACTTAGACCACCACGCCACCTGCTGGTCCCAGTAAATGTATTCTTTAATCTGTATTTTGATAAACTACACTGAGGCTGATTATCTTTTCATGTACATTAGCCCTCTGTATTTAAACTTTTATTTATCCCCTTTTCCTGTTTTTCTACTTTTCTGTGTTATTCTTACAGTCTTGACAGTCTTTTTATGTTAGCTTCTTTTTCTAGATACAGGCTTGGTTTAAAAAACTAATTATATTATTCACTCACTATCGTGTAGTGATAGGTCCAAATATATCTGTAATTTCTTTTTTACAATGACATTTCCTTCCATTAAAAATTGCTTTTTTTCCCAGTAAATATACATTACCTTTTAAACATTCAAGAAACACAACAAATAGTCTTTCTCTCTCCTCAGCCACTCTACCTTCCCAAGCTTACTCTGCTCCTCATAGGAGAAAAATATAGAGAATACTAAAGGTGGGTATGTAGGCTTGCACGTGTTTCCCTTCTGCAAGCTTGCACACACACACGTTTTCATTAGCAATTTTTTCTCATGCTTGCTTATTCTGAGAGTATAAACTATAACAGAATGCCACAACGATTATCCATATACCCTTAGCCCACAGTTTGTGTCTGCCTGATCTTTGAGTGTTCAAATACATGTTGTAGACATAACACTGAACCGTAAATATTTCACAGGTATTTCCCAAGAACAAGAATATATTCCTTTACAACACAATGTTAAGTATCACATCTAAGAAATTTAATTGACACAATCATATAAAGTCAATATTAAAATTTCTTCAATTAGGGGAACCAGCAGATGGTGTAATGGCTATGTCGCTGAACTCCCATGTACTCAACAGCAGCCCTAATCCCAGACCCGGTGGCTTAAACTCACGCCAGACGTGTGTGAGTGCGTGCCCAAGATCCCGAGAGAAGGGATTGCGGCATGGCCATCCCCCCGGGGGGTGATTTCTCACTTTCTGTCTCTCTGTCGAGTGCACGTGCCCTATAGCAAAAACCTCTCCAAAAAAAAAAAAAAGTAATAGGATTCAACCAAGGTGCATACATTAAACTGCCACGTCTCTTCTATTCTACAACAGTCCTCCTGCCACTTACTCCTGTGCCACAATCTGGATTTGACCACTTCCTCATTATAAGATTCAGGATAGGGACCAGCAGTTAGCGTAATGGCTATGTCGCTGGACTCCCATGTAGTCGACCGCAGGTCAAGTCCCGGACCCAGTGGCTTAAACTCACGCTGGGAGCGTGTGTGTGTGCATACCCAAGATCCGAAGAGGAGCAGGGAGAAGGGACTGTGGCGTGGCCATCCCTCCTGGGGGATGATTTCTTG